GGGATAGTAGAGCATAGGAAAGGCAGCAGAATACAACAGACATGAGTATATCAATATGTAAATCAATGGAAGTGTAACTGATGTGATTCTGCAAGCTGTATACGGGGTAAAATGGGAGTTCATAACCCACTTGAATCAAAATGTGAAATATGATATATCAAGAACTATGTAATGTTTTGAACAACCAACAATAAAAAAAAAGAAAATAAAAATATAAACAATTTGGAAAAAAAAAAGAAAGAAAGATGTGTCCAAGTAGTGGGAAAGCACATTTAAACAGTAAATTCTCCSTTGCGTTTATTGAGTTTTGGTAACACAGTGTTTAGGACTAATTCAACCACATTCCTTTTCTTATATTTATTTCTCTGAAAGCATCACCAAGTGAACTGATTAGAGGGCTTCTGGTTTACATTGCATTTCCTTGAAAGAAGGAAACAGAAACATATTTTGATAAAATCTGGGAATTAAGATTTCTAACCTGCAGATGGTGCTATGATCCCATTATGAAATGGCTCTGCTTTCTCATTTAAATTCAAAAGAAAAATGCAGTTTTTGATTTGGTTTATTTTATTCAAAGGTAAGAAAATTGAGTTATTCCATTTTTCTTTTATGTTCTATCATTATATTGGGAGAGCAGAAACTGTCTTTACTATTGGAAAAATCTACTTTAGTTAGTCTTTGTCAAAGCTAAGTGCTTGCTTAGACCATATAATAATCAATTTTTATGTATTTTTCCTGCTTATCACTCAGCATTGAATTGTCTATGATTCTTAATCAATTTAGTTTGCTGTTGCTGGCCTTAAATAAAATTGCTTCACTGAGAATTGGGTGACGAAGAGCTAAAGATAAAAAAATTCCATATGAGAGCCATTTCAACCTCTGCTTTGTAATAATCAGTTAAAAAAAGATTTCCTGGAATTAAGCCACAGGAACTCTGGCTTAAGTCAGAGCTGTCAACTAAGAAACAAATTTCCAGACATTTTGAAATTTAATTCATTTAATTTTTCTTGTAAGTGAATTAGAAATATGATTAAGCATAGCAAGATATTTTTTTACTGGATCAGTCTGACTTTGAATACAGCAAATAGATACTAAAATCTTAAAATAAAAGAAAGAAAGAGGGTTTTAGAGCCACTTTCCTTGCGGAATCTACAAATAAAAATGTAAGAATATGCATACTAGATACTTTTTAAAAATAAAAGGAAAGAGCATTTTAATGTTTTAATTCATGAAGTTGTTTATGTTGCCACATTTTGACCTTGAACACTGCCTGAATATACTACTTGAAAACTACTTTGAGTTAAAAAAACCCACTAATAAAAATGAAGTATTAATCAGAGGACTCTACAAATATATTTAAGTAATTATCTTAAACCCCCTGTAATGTGATTGAGTCAGAAATATTCAAAAACTGACATGGATATGTGTAGTAAGAGTAGGGGTGGAAAGTAAAATAATTCATCATATTATAAGGACTTAGAAAATTAAGAGGATCACTTTTTTAAGGTAGAAATATTTAATTCCATGAGGGTCTACAGTTGACAGTAATTTGGGGGGATAATTTGAAGCACTATGTGTGAAAATGTACTAAGGGTTATGACATTTATACAAAATGTGAAATAGCAATACTGCTACTGCTTTGTGTGATGGTGTGCATATTATACCATCGTAGAAACTTGCTGAGACTTTTTCCCTAGGATTGCTTTCAACATAAATGAAGTATAATGACAGAAAAGTGAAAAATCACTTTTGGTTGCTTTTAAAATCAGGATAGATTTCAAGAAATAATAAATCAGGACCTACATGAATAGTATAAAAAGGCATTAGAAAAACTGATGCTTTGTAAAAAAAAAAAAAGAGAGAGAGAGAGAGAATTAAACAGAAACATGAAGAATATAAGTGATGTTTTGCTTTTTGCATTGTTTCTACATAAAGTCCTTGGTTTTTGGAGGAACCTCAGTGGTCCTGGATATCACGCTATAGTCACTCTCTTAATTCCAACTAATTAAAGATTAAAACATTTCACATTATGCTTGATACTTTTGGGTCTTAAAAAATATGCTTCCTCTTTTTATCTTATGTCTTGAAGTTACTCACTATAAATTTCTTTAAATCAGTCATAATGACAATTGAATAAGAACTTCAGGCCCGTGGGAGCACGACTGTGACGTCTTTCAAAGAGCTTTGTGATTGCTCAGCCCTAAGTCTAAGCCCTATAAAATGACCAACTTTGAATGCTGGTCAGAGTGCAGAGCAGTAGCTGGCAGTATCAGCTAGCCCCCAGCCAGTGCTAAAGCAGCCTGTCTGGGCACCAGGACTTCAGCACCTCAGACAGCTCCAGCGCTCCCCAGAATACACTGTTCAGTTGGGTAAGTACACACTTTACCTTTCTCCTTTATTCTTCCTATCTTTGAAACTTTTCTCAGGCTATACTGAAGTTTTCTCTCTCGTGAAAAGAATTTTACAGTACCCTTCCTTGGAAACTGCAAAAAGACAAGTTTCTCAAGTCACCTGGTAAGCATAGAGGTTTCTCAGTTTTTCTTGTGTGAATTGATTATCAGAATCTTTTTGTTTGAAAAAAATATTAACTGGTTTATTCCTTTACCAAGTATGGTTTTTGGAAAAAAAATGCATCCAAGTAGGCTATGTTTGCATCTGTACAGATATTTGACTGAAAGGTACAGTGAATACAATTGTTTTTGTAGTTTTCAACTTGTTTTTAAGGTGCTGTTCTTTTTGTTTTACATGTTGATTATGTGAACCTAGGAAACATTTATTTTCCTCTTCATTTTAAGTGCTGTAAGTTTTACAGGCAGAAAGAGAAAGAAATATTGAAACCTAAATTTTTATCTAGAAACTATTTAGAAATAAAATGTATGAATCAAATGCAAGAAAAACAAGTTTTGTTTAAAAATTTTCATTTTATTTGAATTTATTTCAATGACAAAATGCTGTTCGATTATTTGGGAGGATCTTAATTTTTTAATTCTTAATTGAGTTAAGTTATTCAAAGCCAGATCCCAGGAAGTAAGTATACAGTGATATCTACAATTAAGAGAACAAAAATGTATATATAAAATCTTTTTTTTTACTGATAGGTATGTATGCATTATATTACTATATATGCAAACAAAAATATACAAACGTGTACATGATTTTCATGGTAGAAGTATTATTAAAGAGGTGACACCCCAGTTTTATAAGTTAGGTATGAAAAGCATAACATAGAAAAAATCACTTAATTTCTTGAAGCTCTTTACTTCATCAGAAAAGATACTAAAAAAATATTATCCCCAGGGTTTTTTCCAGCACAATAGAAACATGGCATTCAATATATACTTCAGCCCACTAAGTGCCTGGCAAGTCTTTCGAAGCAAACACACAGGATCCTAGTTTTTTTACTCAAACACCTGTCACGAAAAGAAATCTTCTTGATTTAAAAGGCAATCATATTGGGCTGGAGTTGTGGCTGAGTGATAGGGCATTTACCTAGCATGCGTGAGGCACTGAGTTTGATCCCTGGCACCACATAAAAATAAAACAAATATAATAAAGGTATTTTTTTTAAAAAAAAAAAAGAGGATTTTTTTAAAAAAAAGGCAATCATATTTCTGATTGACTCTTTCTTGAAGTTGAAATAACACAGCAAGAGCCTTCAGAAATACCGCTAGACCCTTAGAATTTCCTTGTGGTGACAGTGTGATGCAGAAAGCTTGTGTGGTTCTCTCTTCAGAGGCACAGAGATGGAAGCCAGAAGCAAACCCCAGCTCCTCCTGCTCCTGGCTCTTTCCAGTGTGCTCTTCTCACAGAATTCTGCATGGCCTCTCTTCGGACCATCTTCTGCTCTGAGGTAACTTAGAAGTTCACTTTTAATTTGAGATAGTCAAACGTTCCTTTATTGAAATGGGAACTTCCTACATGTTATTTTGGATGGTGCCATATTATAAATTATGTGTCATTCATTTAAAGCTTTTAATTGCTGTGTTGAGCAAGTTCTTTGCCATCATAAAGTCAACACAGTCCTTCTGAGCCCTGGAGTTCACCTGCAGGGCCTGAGAGAGCATCATTGCCTAGTTTTACATATGGACTGGAGCCCATTTCCAAACCGGGTGGGAAGGGGATTTGACTTTCATTGAGAACCAGTGTTAGATAAGTGAGAAGAAGCATTTATGCTCTGTCACCTCAGTTCAGTTCACCGTCTGGTGGAAAAATAGTTGTTTAGTTGTCAACCTCATTGTAGTTCGTTTCTAAGATCAATCAGTAAACAGCCATAAGATTAGTGGTTTATTAGTGAAATATGTGTAAAATCATGCTGCATAGAAATGTATCTAGGTAGAATAACTTTGTCAAATTAAAAGTTACAGGAGAATTGTTCTCCAGAAGTATACTCCCCTACAATGTATTTGGTTTGAACTAAAATCTTTAATTTAACTGTGTTCCCTATTTCAAATTCATAAAGCATGCCACTACTCACATTTACAACTGTACCTGAAATAAAATAGATTTATGTTAAAAAAGTAAATAGTGAATTAAACTTTCATTAACCTGATATTTCCTTCCAGTTTACAGGAATCGTATCTAAGTGCCAAATAATGATTTCTTTGCTTATTTGTTCATTCCTGAGTTTTTGCTTCAGGTGTACTTTCCCCCCATAAAGTGAATTATCTTTCAGCCATTAGTATTCTCTGTTAAATTTGTTTAAAGCCATCTTCTACATTGCTCTGATGATGAAATAGGATGGTTCTGTCTGAGTGGCTAGATCACAATAGATGATTGCTGGGCTTCAGACCCACAGAGGACAATTTCTTACTGACTACCAGCTACTTCAACTGCAGAAGGGACAAAACTGCCCTGAAACAAACATTCTCCTTGGAGATTTACCCTAATAATAAAAGTACACACATATACAATTTTAATAATGTGCTATTGTGAAAAATGTGCATGCACTCACAAATATAGTCAAGTTCTGTATATAGTTAACACAATTCTTAGACTTGCAGTACAGCACCATACATTCCTTACTAAAGCTGTGTTAACACATAAAATTAGAAACCAGAAGACCCCACAAAATTCTTTGAATTTGAATGATGATTCATTAATGAAGAGATTCTTTGGACTTGATCAGTACAGAGAAATATATCACGCTAAGGTAAATCTCTGAAGCAAAGCCAAGGGACCCAGGAAGAGAAGAATAGTGAATACTCATCTCTTTAGAGGTATTTGGGGCAATTATTGCTAAATATCATCAAATACATAAGTTCCTAACAGTTTTAATACTGGTTATTCAGTTTCCATATGGACTGGAGCCCATTTCCAAACCAGGTGGGAAGGGGATTTGACTTTCATTGAGAACCAGGGTTTTATATGAATTATATCTACCTCCTAAATTTGGCTTTTCAAAGTGAAGATACACTTGGTTTAGTGAAGTAGAAGATGGAATGAACTTTGCTTAATCCTCTTATAGGATTGAATTAAGTAGCACTTATGTTTGGTATATCCAGCTTAGAAAAGTTGAATGGCATTTATTTTGTGAGATAATGAAAATATTTTCTGTTCATACTCTCATTAACCAAGTCAAATTATCCTATTCTTACATTGTGAATCAATGATATTTCCCAAGAGTTTTAGTTTCTTATTTCAAATGGTTGCAAGACCATGAGCATTGCCTTCGAGAAAGGAATGTCTTACACTTCTAGTGTGCTTTTCTCTAACAGGTTGGATGACAGAATGCCACTGGAAGGAGCAAATGAGCCAGACCAAGTTTCATTAAAAGCAGACACTGACATCTTGCAGAATGCTTTAGCTGAAAATGACACACCCTATTATGATGTATCCAGGTGACTTCATTTTTATTGCTTTATTTTATATAGAAAATATATTTTAGAAATATAAATGTTCTAGTTATCTTACCTTGGAGCTATGTCTGTATAATACTACAGATTTTCATGTGTCACTCATTCAGCTTGATTTAGAGCAGCTCCAGAAGCTGAACATGATTTTCCTGTAGAAAGACTGCAACAAGTTAGGATGAATACATCACTCTTCACACTCTGTGTACCTAGTTTCAACATCACAGATTGGACCAGTCCTGGTACAACCACAGCAAGTTCAGATTCCATGATGGAGCAGGTGCTAAGGGCAGAGGTTCATCCTACCTAAGGAAAAGGCACCTAACAGCACTGTTCCTTCATGGAACTGCTTGTCTAGCTTTCAGGACAAATCAAGTAGCTCCATACCAAAGACAAAGGATAAAAGGTTTTTTGTTTGCATGGAAAAGTTGGTCAATAAGCCCTAAAATCCTATCTCAAGAGATATTGTTTCCAAATATTTTGGCAGAAGAAATATCAAAATATATGTTTGTTACTTTGCCAAAATCAACATATTTTCCCATTGCATATGTTTTTATTTAGGATAGCAGAAAAAAGCATCATAATATAGAAATTATGATATATTTTTCACATAAGTATTTCTTAGAAAGGCAATCATTTTGAAGCTTTTATAAGGGAGAAATTTACTTTTAAAACAGTTCATTTAAACAATTTTTCAATCTTGGGCTGCATATATAACTCAACATTTGCCCATCAGGATACAAATGATTAGAACATACCTTTCTTAACACTTCCTTTTGGACTTAAGCATTAATAGCAACTTTTATAATAAGCTGATGAATTTGTTATTTAATGAACTAGAATAATATTCTAGAGAAACATGTATGCATTAGTAACTATCCTTTTCTCCTTGTTTTAGAAATGCCAGGCATGCTGACGGAGTGTTCACCAGTGACTACAGTAGGCTCTTGGGTCAACTTTCTGCCAAAAAATACCTTGAATCCCTTATTGGGAAGCGGGTTAGGTAATGGAAATTTATTCCTTTTCATCAAGCATGTTATCATTACTCAATCTGCCAATCATATTTTCACTTTCAGTATGTTCTTCAAAATTGACAACTCTTTGATAATGTTTAATTTAGTCTAAAAAATAATGTACATTTTTGAGTAAAACATACTGGGCCCATTGATGAAGGAATAAGCCTTTTTCTTATATTCATTGAGTCCAGTCACATTTATTTTTCTTAAATGCTACACTTATTTACAAATTTGAAATCAAATTGGATGAGACTCAATAAAAAGTGATTTGGAATGTCGATGCTTTGGGGCATTTATCGTTAAACTCTGACGTTCTTTTGCTCACATTCCTTAGCAGTACAATCTCAGAAGACCCTGTTCCCATCAAACGCCACTCTGACGCAGTCTTCACCGACAACTACACCCGCCTTAGAAAACAAATGGCTGTAAAGAAATACTTGAACTCAATTCTGAATGGCAAGAGGAGGTAAAGGAAAAGAGAACTTGCTAAAATGAGAAATTATAAATGACTTACAAAACTAAGCCACATGCAGAGATCTATCTATCTGCCTATCCATCCATCCATCCTATATGAAGTAGTCATTCTCAACCTTGATATTAGACTACTCTGGTTGATGTTAGACTACTCTGGAAACTTTTTAAAGTACTGATGTTTGGGCCTTATCCCAAACCAATTGCCAGGAAATCAGTGACTCTGGGGTACAGACTTGGACATCAGTATTTTTTTATGAGCCCCCTGGCCAGTTCTACTGTTTCATCAGGGTTAAAAATGATGGCTAGTTTGAATCTGTGAACAGGTTTTATCAAAAGTATTGGCTTTTAAAACATGTAGAGTACAAGCAGCAATTTGTTCCTGCATGGACCCCCTTCATATTCAGTATCCTTACTTTATCAAATTTAACCATCAGACATTTTGTACATTTAAATTCTGTAAAATCTCTATCCCTCTTTGGTGTGTAGATATTGGACAATGCAGGGGGCATGAAGTTCTCTCTTTTTATTCCAATTGTTTTTTTTGTGTGTGTGTGTGCATGGTATTAAGGATAATCCTGTTTGGGTGAGATTAGATAACATTATATTTTCTCTTTGCCCACTAAATCGTAATTCTGAAAGAATAATTTGAGACACTTTGAGGTTAAGAAATAATTTAAAGATGATTGTTCAGCCCTAGTGCACTTTGCAGAGAACAGTCATTAAGTCATTATCATTTCTTTTGAACCATTCTCTTCTAAGAGCCCTAACAGGCCAAATTTCCTTCTTGTGTTCTGCAGCAGTGAGGGAGGGTCCCCTGACTTTCCTGAAGAGCTAGCAAAGTAATGAAGAAGCTCTTGGAGTCCAGCTGATGAGAAGTGGTGAGTACATCTGTGTATTCTCACTGTATTCTCACAGTCACCATCTAATTATGGAAGGAGGGAAGAGTCACTGAGGAGGAAAAAATTCTAGAGTTAAATAACCATTTTACATGAGACCTCATCTAAGGACCTCTACTTGAAATGGACCTCACCCCAGAAAACAGCTTCAAATGACTGATCCCATAAACGGCTGTTCACACTGAGCAGACATTGCAGACAGTGTGCTATCTGAGAGGTTCTCCTCTCTGTTTGGCCTCATTCCTACACTTGTGTTGAGTTAAAAACCAAAGGAGCCTGATTCACACTCACGAGAAAAACTAGCTTTATTTTTGAGAACCAAAGCATGCTGCTCTTATTAACTTAAGATTTAATCCCATAATTGTCTGTTAGCTCTTCATTTAATTTAAATGTAGGGAACCGTCACCATAATTCATTGTTATAAAAACACAAAGGCACTCTGGCACTAACACAGCAAACTTCATATAGCAAAAGTCAAATTTTGACCTATAAAGTGAGTTTAGTCATGAAAACCTGATAACATTCACTATAAATTTTTTTTTTTTTAGTAGAGAAAACGTGCACAGTTTTTTTCTCTTTTTTGAAATGGTGAGCTTGTTATAAAAGTTGCTTTTATATAAATGTGGGCACAAGACATACTTATTTACTAAATTATGTTGCATTAATATTTACATCATCTCCTGCATATCTAGTTACAATGTTTGACAAGTGCTTAAATAAATTCTTGTCATCAGCATACTAAAAGTGAGCAATTTTCTCCAAAGGCCTACAAAGTAAGTGTTTTCAGCTTTGTGGGCTATCTTGTTTCTCTTATAATTCTTCAACCTTGCTGTTGTGGCATGAAAGGAATCATAGATAACATGTAAAATGAATGGGAATGGCTGTGTGCCAATAAAACTTTATTAGTAAAACCTGAAGGTGGGCAGGATTCCAATCCCTGACCAGGTCCAAGAGATTAACCGAGACCCACACAGGCCAAAGGCAGTTCACAGCCACATTAATTCCTGATGTGGTTATCAAAGGTTTCCAAGAGAGTCAACAAAAGTGGACAGGGTGTCTAGAAGACACCTACATGACCAATTACTGTTGTCCACTAAGTAGATCTCCCCTTTATCTTAAGAGTGGTGTAGTGTTAGATTTACCTGCAAAGATGGCTTATCACATCTAGACATTTAAGTGCAACAAGTTCTTTGCTCACAGATGAAAGCTAATCACATTCAGGGCATTGAAAAAATATCTCCAAGGTAAAACCTCCCTCAAATTAAGAAATAGGACAGGCACTAAAATACACAGGCAGATCCCTCTGTCCTTTGAAAATTGTAAGTTCATTTGTGAGATCACATCCTTCCTTCATTTCTTTATGGAAGGGTGACTTTGGACAAATTCTTTGGACAGGAAATCCTGTGCATTATCCACTTGTGAAAGGTTCAAATGTGTGACTATTTGTGTCTAGAAAGAAAGCAGTTCCTCTGTGACAGTCAGTCTTTTGGAAGGTACTTGTCCTTATGACCAGGGGAAATAGATGCTCAACAAATGGGCTGATAAGTGAATGAAACTAATATGCTATGAACAAAAATATACATTTGTGTTTCAAGTGTGAATTCTTTCTTTTTCAGAATTCCTGAAGGAAAATGATAGGCAACAGTAATTACATTTTGAGTTCTACATAACTAATTCAAGAAAACAACTTCAATATTGAAACCAAATAAAGTATAGTGTCGTGAATGTCGTGGTTCATTTTCTTCTGATGTAACAACTGTGATGTTTACACTGTAAATATTATTTGAGTTATAAAATGTGTCTGTAGCTCATGAAAAGCCTGTAATTTCATATGCTGTATATTCTTTCTAACAAAAGTATATTTAATGATAAGTAGATACTAGGTTAATTACAATTATGTGAGATTCTCTGGAAGACTGGTAATAGAGGGAAATTGATGTGTTTATTTATAGAGTGCAGTTAGCTATTCAGAACAATAGAGCAGATAATCGGTGTGTCTAAAATTGAATGTTAAGCAGATAGAATGGTGTGTTAACCCCCAAAATATCCAAGAGAATGCCAACAGAAAAGAGGAAAAAGAAATTCTTCAAAAAATATTTTTGAGAAAATTCACCACGTTTCCACATTGATAGAAAACTTCCTCATGGGAAAAAAACTCTCACAAATCTGGATCACTAATCGCCAAAGGCTTTCCTTGGACCTGTGTCTCTGCCAAGGACTTACTACTTTGGACCTGCCCTTTATGCTTGTGTAAAGTGAATGCAAAATGGAAACTGAATAGAATGTTTGTTTTTTAGGAATAAATATTTTTTCCATAATCAGTCAGATTAATGTTTGGTCATATCAGCTTCCTCCAGTGAAAGTACATTTAAGGACACAACTATTTTTCCAAGCCGATTGTAAGAAATTAAATATAGGAAATAAAGATCTTTGACTATCATTGCAGATACTTGTGTTGGTTCTGATTCTTTTAAATGACCCAACAATAACTCATTTTAGTTCTGAGTTTCCAGGTACTAGATAGTTTTTGTGAGATTTGAGGTAGGATTGCATTTAATAATGTGTGAGTCCTAAAATAACAGTGACATAAATAACAAAGAAGTTTCTTTCTCACATCAAGCGAGAAGAAGACATCAGGAGTGTGATGGTTCTGTTCTGCAAATCTGAGTAATCTAAACCCTTTCCAGCTCATCCCTCATCTCTGAGGTTGCAGTCTTTCTCCTCATGATGCAAATTCATGGCTACAGTTCTGACCGTTTTATCTGCATTCTGTGCAGCATGGTGGAGGATGGGGCATGGGGAAAGGGAGCAAAAGGTTCACACGCCAGCATCCTTTGACCTGATATATCACACCAGTATCCCCTGGGCTGGAACACAGTCTTATGGCCACAGACATTTGCAAGAGAGGTTGGGAAATATGATGTTTTTTTTCTTGTTCAGGAGGGAAGTCATACACCCAACTAAAGATTGAGGACCATTAATATAAAATAGTGGAAGAATGGATGTGTGTGGGCACTTTAAAAAAAATGCTTAAGTTATCACCAGAAATGGAAAAGAAAGTGAGAGTCAGAGTAGCCATGGATGAGATGCATCATCACCATAGGGCAACACACTTTCATTTTCTTTCACTACCATTAGAACAAGTGACCACATAAGGAGGGACTATTCTAGAATGACCAGCAATGGCAGAGCAGTTTAGATAAGCTAAAAGTTAATTGGACTGACTGTTATCTTTTGGTCTCACTTGATCCCTCAAATTATTAACTGTTCATTAAGTGGCTTTTCTGCAGAAAGCACTGCTCTGAGAGCAAACTTATAGGTGAAGGCTGTGAGCTTACCAAGGTCAAATGGGGCGATATTTGAATGTGAAGGTACAAAGCTTTAATTTTATCTTAGTAATAGATATTCTTTCAATTTAATCCCTCTTTCTTCAAGAACTACTTCTTAAATGACCATTTTGGACTGTGACAGTATCTTGGAAGGATTCTGGGAGAGGGAATAGCAAGTGCAAATGAGGAAAGAGACCTGTGAACCTGTACAGCCAGGTAACCTGAGGAGCCTCACAGGCCGCCACAGGGACTTGAGAAGTGATATGAGGAGACATTGCAGCGTTTGGCCAGAGGTGTGAGAACTGCATTTGTACAGTGTCATTCTGGATGCTATATTGGGAATGGATAAAAGGACAATAAGAAGTAGGGAGAGAAATCAGGAGGCAACTGCTACAGTGATRGTGGCTACCAGAGAAGTGATGGAGGTAGGGGGAGCGGATTCTGAACATGTCTCGAGAGTAGAATCAAGTTGGCCTACGGAGTGGAGATATGAAGGAGAAATGTCAAGAAAGATCTCCAGGTACAGCACCCAGGCAAATGTGAAGGTCAGAGCTGCTATTAACTAAGATGGAGAGAACTGGGAGGAGTCCGTTGTAGGAGTTAAGTTTGGAGCATGTTAAAGTTGAAGTTAAGAAGAAAGTTGGAGATACACATGAGTTCTGGGGAGATGCCGGCCTGGAGATAGCCAGTGAGAAGACTCCAGAATATAGATGGAATTAAAAAAAAAAAAACAACACAAGAGCAAATGAGATCACCAAGATCACAGAAAAAGAAGAAGGAGAAAGGAAGGGGGAAAAGAAAGGCAGGAAGACTCTAAAGACACTATCTAGGGCTGTTGAAACAAAGTTCCGCTAACTGGGTGGCTTAAACACCGAAGAGTATTGTCTCATAGTTTTGAAGGTTAGAAGTTCAAGATCCTGTGCCCCCAGGGCTCCTTCCTTCTTCAGGTCATGAGGAAGAATCGGTCTGTGCATCTCCTTTGGCATCAGGAGGCTTGCTGGCAATGGGCGGTTTGTAAAAGCACTACCTTGACCTCTACCTTGATCTTCAGGTGGCGTTCTTCCTGTCTGTGYGCTTTTCCCCAAATTTCTTCTTTTCCTAAGGACCCCGTTATACTGGATCAGAACCACCCTAATGACTTTACTTTAACTTGATTACCCTTAATTAGCAATCTTGTCACTTCATGAGGTCACATTCTGAGATTCTGGACTTTAGGACTTCAACGTGGGAATTTGTGGGGGTGCACACAATTCAACCCATCCTACGGGCGCATGCCAAYATTCAGGGGAACGAGTGAAGTAAGAAAGGAGTAAAAGGGGAGACACGTAAAGAGGAGGAAATGGGAGAGTATGTTGTCCTAGACGACAGACGCAGGATGGCGAGGAAGAGGAACTCATGGGGTCAGGTGTGAAGTGGGATTTTTCAGGCATGTGTACATGACGCTGGGAAGCTCYCTGAGACGTGTGTCATCTGGTGGCTTTGTCTAGTGTAAACATCATATCACAAAGTGCACTTGGACTTCCTTGGYGAGGCCACACAGCTCATTGTTCCCAGGCCACCAACCCTTACAGCATGGTACTGCGCTCAGTGCTGGAGACGGGTTGTGCATCTAAACATGGAGAAGG